CCAATGCGGCTAAGGATGCCGCGGCTGTGTTGCAGCAGCTCGCGAGTAACGATCAGAATGTCGTGCAGATGGCTGAGGCGAACCACTTCAAGCCGCTCGCGGAGCGGCTCAGCACAGGTGGGCTGGTGGGGGGCTGGGCTGGGATGGGCTGGGCAGGGCAGGAATGGGCTGGGCTGCTGCTGCTGCTGTGGTGTTGCTGGCAGGGTGTTACGATCTTACTGTTGGTCTCTTGGGTTTGCCTCGGACTAGCGTCCCAAGTCCATTCCAGACGCTGGCTCATGCCAACTCTCCTCTCCTTCTCTCCACCTCCTGCTTGCTTACCACCCTGCCCCCTCCCTCTTCCTAGATTCTCTCTCCATATAGGAGTTGCTCTTCAGAACTCTCAAAGAGAGTCTCTCTCTCTCTCTCACGGACCAGAGCCACTCTGTGCTGGTGCACCGGAGCTTACTGCTCTCCATCCATCCACACGCCTCCTTCGCCTTTCCGTTCCACCTTCCCCCTTTCCCCCCTTCCTTTCCACCCCTTTCGCCCTTTCTCTTTCCCACCTCCCTACCCCTCTCCCTACCCCTCTCCCTACCCCTCTCCCTATCCCTCGCCCTATCCCCCTCCCGCCAGGCTCGGACATGACTCGGATCGTGATGGCGAGCGCCCTCTCGTGCATGTCTCTGACAGACCAGAGCAAGGCGATTCTAGTGCAGCAGGGCGCCATCCCCCCCCTCGTCACCATGATCGCCTCGGGAAAGCTCGAGGCCAAGGCCGCAGCCCTGGGCGCGCTGCAGAACCTCTCGTCGCTCGCCGCCAACCGCAACGAGCTCATCCGCGCGGGAGTCGTGCCGCCGCTGCTCACGCTGCTCTTCTCCGTGACCTCTGTGGTGATGAGTCTCAAGGAGGGGGCCGCTGCGATCCTGGCGAATATCTCCATGGCGGCTGGTGCGCAGGCGGAGACGAGGATTGATGCCAATGGAGCGATTTTGGAGTCGGAGGAGACCATCTTCCAGCTGCTCTCGCTTATGAACCTCGCTGGGCCAAACATTCAGGTGGGCAACCGTAGAGGCGCCTTGGAAGGCGAATAGTCCAGCTGCTCTCGCTTGTGATCCTCTCGCTGGGCCGCATGTTCAGGTGGGGCTGGCTGGTAGTGCATGAGTCAGACACCTGTATTTTTTTTTAGGGGTTTCCAGACTCCACTCTTGGCCTTCCTACGGTGCAACAGCCTGGGCTGGGCGATGGGGGCGTATCCGTGTATCCCTTATGATTGTCCCTTTATCGGTCTGCTCTGCTCCCTCGTGCCCTGCCACTCACCCACCTCCTTATGCACCATGGTATGTGCACGCGTGTACGTGTGTCTGTGTGCGTGTGCGTGCGTATGTGCATGTCTGTGTGGGCACGCACGCATTCATGTGTGCATGCGAGCAGGTGAATCTACTGAAGGCGCTGCTGGGGATGGCATCAGTACCACAGTCCATGGAAGTGCGCAACCGCATGATAGTGGGAGGAGCTGTTGACGTCCTCATCCCCTTCATTGACGGCTCTGAAGGGGTCAGTGCTCGCTTGCTGCTCCCTGCTGCTGCTGCTTCTGCTGCTCCATGCTGCTGCTACTCTGCTGCTGCATGCTTGCTCGCTCCACCTCCTGCCCTTGCTCCTGCCACACATGCCGCCACTTCCTCCTCACTCGTCCCGTCTCCTTCTCCCGCTCGGCCTCTCCCTCCCCTCCTGCCCCATTCTCTCACAAGCACTTATCTCTTCCCCCATCCCTGCCCAATGGTACACCCACATATGGGATCTCCTCCCCCCCCCTCGTTCCCCCACTCTTCCACGCGCACCCTAGCAGCGCGGGTGTTGAGGGAGCTGTCAAAGGAGGCGGAGGCGGGCAAGAGCGTGGCGGACAGCCTCATGGAGAACCAGGCCACAGCCGATAACTGTGCTGCCCCATTCCCTCCCGCGCACCGCTCTCTGCTCACCTTCCAACCTCTCCTTCCCATCCCTCCCCGCTCCCTGCCCCTTTCCCGTCCCCTGCCCTTTCCCCCGCCCTTTCCCCCTCGCCCTCCCCCCCCCGCCCCCACCCCCTCCCACCCACCAGGGGCCAGCCACGCGCCCCCTAGCAGCACGAGTGTTGAGGGAGCTGTCAAAGGAGGCGGAGGCGGGCAAGAGCGTGGCGGACAGCCTCATGGAGAACCAGGCCGCGGCGCTCAAGGCCATCATCGCCATGCTGCAGGACAAGGACTCGTTTGACAACCGCGCCGCTGCTGCCTCGCTCATTGCCGCGCTCCCGCCTAGTGATGCCAAGCTCAACCAGGCGCTCGTGCAGGTGGGTGGGTGGCTGGGCGGGTGGTTGAGCTGTTTTTGAGCCGCCTAAAAAAATAGACGCGCGCTTGCTGCCTCGCTCATCGCTGCGCTGTCGCCTAGTGACGCCAAGCTGAAGCAGGCTGGTTGGGTAGGTGGGCACCAACGCACAGCTCAGCTCTTGAGTCTCTGCCGGAATCCTCTCTACATGAAGCTCACAGGTCGAGGAACGTTTTCTGAGGCGCCTTGGGATTCTCTATCTCTCCCCCTTCCCCCAAACAACCCCCCCCCTCCTCCCCCCTCCCGCGCTTCCTCCCCCTTGGCGTGTGCTCCTCCCTGCAGGCGGAGGTGGTGCAGACGCTGGTGACAATGCTGGGCATGAAGGGAGGCGGGTTCTGAGGCGCCTCAACACCCTCTTCCCCTCTCCCCCACACCCTCCCCCTCTTCCCCTTTCGCGGTTTCTCTGCTCCCCTGCAGGCGGATGTGGTGCAGACGCTGGTGACAATGCTGGGCATGAAGGGAGGTGGTGTGGGCACCAACGCACAGCTCAAGGACGCGGCTCTGGAGGGAGCTGCCAACGCCCTCGTCCGCTTCACCCTCCCCAGCAAGTACGCCTCCATGCATCCTGAAACCCCCCTCAACTTGCTGTGCCGGCCTTTCTCCTTTATCTGCCTCCACTTCATCACTCCTGTCGCACACCAGAGCCCACTGAAATCCTCCCATCCACCTTCTTGTCTCTTCACACAATCACTCTGTGTCCCCCCATTTCCTTGATTTTTACCCCTCTAGTTGGCTTGGCTCATGAGAACATCCCAATGACTTACTGCTAATGCGTCCACTTTTCTGCTCCTTGATCTTGCACTGCTGAAACACGTTCCGACCTCCCCCCCTCCCCCTTTCACCCCATTTCCCCTCCCGCAGCATCAAGCAGCAGCAGCAGCTGGCGGAGCTAGGAGCCATCCCGCAGCTCGTAACCCTCCTGGTAACCGGCAACGCCGGCGCCAAGCGCGGAGCAGCCCTCTGCTTGGGCAACTTCTCGGAATCCAGCCCCACGCTCTCCGTGTCAGTCAAGGCCAAGTCCGGCGGGTGCTGCTTCAAGCCTCCTGAGGAGCCCAAGTGTGTGCTGCACGGGGGGACGTGCTCTGTGCGCGCGTCCTTCTGTCTGTTGGAGGCGGAGGCGATTGACCCGCTGGTGGGCGCCATGGGTGAGAAGGAGCCGCTGACTGCGGAAGCGGCGCTGACGGCGCTGTCGACACTCATGGCGGACTCGTGCCGATGGGAGGCCAGCGTCAAGATCATCCATGAGTCTGGTCAGGTTTATTGCTGCTGCGCGCTGGGTTGGGGGTGCTTGGTTGGGTGGCTGGGGTTCGTTTGCGTGTTTTGTGAGTCTCAAAGGCTTGAGGGCTTAGGAAGTCGGACTCGGGCCGATGGGAGGCCAGTGTGAAGATCATCCATGCGTTGGGTCAGGATTGCTGGGACCTGGGTTGAGGAGACTGGGTTTGTTTGGGTGTGGGAATCGGATGGGGTGGGATGGTTTTGGTTGGGATGGAGAAAGTTCCGATGGGGTGAAACAGGGAAGGCACTTGCAGCGATGGAGTGCTTTTGTTCCTATTGTGTTGGCAATTTCGACATCCGCCTCCCTCCCACTCCTCCGCTCACACCCTATCTCCACCCTGCCTGCCGGCCTCCCCTGTCTCTGCGTCTGTCTCTGTCTCTGCGTCAACCAGGTGGGTTTGGGCGGGTGGTGCAGCAGCTGAGCGAGGGCACAGAGCGGGCCAAGGAGAAGGGCGTGTGGATGCTGGAGAAGCTGTTTCGCCTCGAGGAGTACAAGTTTGAGTACGCCACCAAGGCCCAGGGCGCGCTCATTGAGATCACACAACACGGGTCCAACGAGACCAAGCCCGTCGCTGCTAAGATCTTGAGTCATCTCGAGCTGCTTCACCAACAGTCTAGCTATTTCTGAGCGGTTTTGTGGGGTGCAGGGTGGTTGGGCAGTTGGTGAGTCGTGTACGTGTGTGGTTTGGGTGAAGGTGTGGGAGGTAGCACGGTGGGATGGTGGAGGGGTGTGGTTGGTGGGTTGGGTGTGTGTGAGCTGTTGTGTGCTCGTGTTTATTGTTGCTGCTGGGTTTGCAGGCAGTGTGGCATTGCAGGTTGACAGTCAGGTTGACAGTCAGGTTGACAGTCAGGTATCCTAGTACTTGATTATGTGGTGAGGAGAGGAGTGGTATTCAAGCTTATTTAGGGATTCGAGCACAAAAGACCGTGTGCGTGCACTTCACATATCCGAGTATTGTCTAGATCGTGGATCTGAGTATAAGATGAAGTAGGGCGTGTAGATTGTGGTGTAGCAAAGTAGAGGTGCAATCCATTTATATAGCTTCAATTGTGCGTGTAGGATGTTTTTTGGTGTTCTGGAAGGAAATCCTGCAACACCAGAATTTGACAGTCGAGTCTTCCTGTATACGGTATAAATGTGACTCGTCCTTTCCTCCTGCCACGCAGAATCTCTAGGAACCTGGGCAGGGAAGGAAACTCGACAGCTATCCCCCAGACGCGGTCACTCCTTGACCGCTAGCCTTTGCTTTGGAATTCCAAATATCTCGAGCTTACTAGTCCTGTAACGAAGTGTTGCTAACGAATCCGTAGCGATGCGCGTGTTGGAGTCATGCGCTGGAGTCGCGTCACCAGCGCGATTCGTCTCCGAAGCGCCGCAGCTCCCGATGGTACCTGCGCGGCGTTTCTCGCTCGGCGGACCGCCGTCGCCCTTCGTCGCGACGCGTCGGATCCAATCCTGCGCTTTCGCCACGTCGGCCGGCCACGTGCCACGTGGATCCGTCTCGCTGCAGCCGCTGCTAAAGAATCGTGGGAGGCGCGGACTCTCCGTTGGGCGCGTAGCCGGCAAGAGTAACGGCGTCTTTGCTGCCGCGTCCGCCGCCGCAGGTGGTGGCGCAGATAAGAGGGGCGAGACAACGGGGGATGCGGAGGACCACGGAGGTGACGCGGCTAGCAAGGAGCACGCGGAAACGGGGGATGCGCGGAGAATTGCGGAGGGCGGAGAGCGGATGGCAGGGGAGGAGGGGGAGATGAGGGTCGGGGGAGAAGAAGCGGATGCGGCGGGCGGAGCGGGGGAAGAGGGGGACGATATTTCGGGAGGTCTTTTCGGTGGCGGTTTTGGAATGCATCTGGTAAGAAGGGTTCTCTTACTAAAATCAGATAGGAGCTCTATTTTTAGAAAGCGGTATAATCTGTGGGCCGTTTTGATGCTGTGCAATGGCGCCTTCACCACCTGTGCTGTCACTGCTGCCTTGCCTCTCTCTCTCTCACTCTCTCTCTCTTTCACTGTGAGAATTCTACCCGTTTCATTTCGTCCCTCTCACTTTCCATCCCTTCTCACCCTCGTGCTCCATCCCCTTCTCCCCTTCTCCCTCTCTCCATCCGCCTCTCCCCGTCATTATCACTGCCTCTCCCCGTCACTTTCTCCTTGCCTCTCATGTCTCTGCTCACAGCCATGGGATTCACCACTCGGCACAGGAGACTGAAAACAAAACATCCTTATTTTCCCCCCCATCGCTATCCCTTCCATGCCTCTCATGTCTCTGCTCGGCTCGCAGCCATGGGATGCACCACCTGGCACAGGAGACCCCTCCACGCCCTCGCCCTTCCAGTTCCCCTCGCCCTTCCCTCCTCAAGCCTCTTCAGAGTTCCTGGACCAGCTCCCTGCAGAAGACAGGGCCCTGCTCTTCCCCTCCTCTCCACCCCCTCCCTCCTCCGCCTCCTCCTCTCCTTTCACCGCCATCTCCTCTTCTTTCGCTTCGTATAACCAATCCTACTATCAAGATGACGATTCTGCCGAGACTCTCCCGGACCTGGCGGCGAGGCTCGGGCTGGATCACCCGAGCCACGAGCGTGAGCTTGCTGTGAGTGCCATATACGAACAAATTGAGAGGAGGCCGGAAGTGGCATCTGAACTGCTCTCTCTCATGCTAAGTTCATCCCCCTCTTCCACCACTGCTGCTGCTGCTGCTGCTGCTGCTGCTGCTGCTGCTGCTGACTCCCCCTCCTCCTCCGTCTCCCACGCGTCTCTCCCTCTCATAGCCCTGCTTGGCAATCTTCTACACACTAGCGCCTCTCAGTGGCACAGTGACCTGCAACGCACACCAGCAACCACTTCTGCTGCTGCTGCTGGTGCCGGTGCTGCTGGTGCTGCTGGTGCCGGTGCTGGTGCGGCTGCTTCTGCTTGGTGGATGGAAGGGATGGAGGACCAAGCACAGGAGGAGAGGAGGGGTTCTAAGGAATCTGAAGAAGGTATGTTCGAGGAAGCAGGGGCTACAGATTTCGATATCACAGAAGCTCAAGTCAGGGAGCTAGAGGCATTGCTACAGGCAGGAGCGATACCAGAAGGGCAGTCGTCACCCCAGTCACCATCACGACAAATCCAACAATCGGAGTCGCAATCAGAGCTCCCGCGCCTTCCACGAGAGAGTGTGATGAGAGCAGCCGCAGGAGTTCTCGCAGCACTAGCAGGAGCATCAGCAGAGGGGCTACAAGCAGTGGTGCAAGGAGGCGCAGTGGAGGAAGCAGCATCCCTGCTCTCCCTCCCACGCCTCCCCCAACCCGTCCGGTCCGAAACCCTCCCTCTCATTTCCGCTGCTGCCTCCCTCCCTTCCCTCCGCCCAAAACTCGCCTCCATGAACCTCCTCCCACCGCTCCTCACCGCTCTCTACGACCCAGAAGCGTCGGATCCAGAGCTAGAGCACATCCTATCAACCCTGTGCTTGATGGTAGAGGACCAGTCATGCTGGCCTTCTATCATAGACCACCAAGCCGTTCCCCGAATGGCGGCGTTTCTCGCAGCGATCGACGCTGGCAACGGCACGGCGCCCCGGCACTCCCTGCGCCGCCTCCGCTCCTCCCTCCTCTCCCTCGCTCCCGACCCGTTCTTCCGCTCGTGCCTCCTCGAAAATGACTTATGTCTGGTCCCGCTGGTGGGAGCTGATGCGTATCGGTCTCTTGCTAGCGAAGGGGAGACGGTGAGGGTTACTCGGGTGCCGCCGTCTCTACCGCCTCGTCTTGCTGCTGCTGCTGGGGATGTGCTGAAGGGAGCGCCTGTGGAGAGTACGTTTGGTGCTGGGAAGCTGCTATTGGGGTTGGCGTTGGGGGGCAATGGTGGAGGGTCGGGGGAGGGGGGAGAAGGGAAGGGAGGTGGGGTAGGGCTGGGTGGAGAGGGGTTGGATGAGGAGGCGATTAGGGAGCTTGAGGGACGAACGAGGCAGCAGTTCCTGGCTCGGATTGGATTGCTGGAGAAGGAGAAGAAGAGTAGGGAGGACAAGGAGAAGTGGGAGAAGGACAAGGAGGAGGATGAAAAGGCGAGGGTAAATGCAGAAAGGGAGAAGGAGAGAGAGGAAAGGGAGAAGGAGAAGGAGGAGGAGGAGGAAAAGGAGAAGGAGACGGAGAAGGGGGAAAAGGAGGAACAAGCAGAAGGAGAGCCAGCCTGGTCCAGTAAGAGTTACACGCTCATGTCCCGGTGGGACGGCGTGGCGCGTCTCGTTCTCCTCATGACTCTCGAGAACGAGCGGGTGGCAGCGCGGGCGCTGGCAGCAGCAGCAGAGCTGGCGAGAGCGGGCGAGGGCAACAGGCGCGCGCTGAGAGATGCGGGAGCCGTGGTGCACGCGGTGCGGTGGATGGGCGCCGGTGGTGCTGCTGTCAGGGCTGCTGCTGTTGCCGCAGTTGAGAGGTTGAGTGTCAGGTGAGGGAGGGGTTGAGGAAGGGTGGGTGGGCAGGCGGACGGGTGGGCAGGGCAAGTGGGTGGGTGTGTGACTGGGTTGGTTGCAGTCCTGTGTCTTCCCCTGGTGAGAATGTGCGGGCGAGGGCGGGCGAGGGCAACAGGCGCGTGCTGAGGGATGCGGGAGCCGCAGTGCACGCGGTGCGGTGGATGGGCACGGGCGGTGCTGCTGTCAGGGCTGCTGCTGTCGCCGCTGTTGAGAGGCTCAGTGTCAGGTGCGCGTGGGTGGGCAGGAGGGAGGGTGGGTGCGTGGGTGGGTGGGTGGGTGGGTGGGCGGGAGGGTGGGTGTGCGGGAGGGTGGGTGGGCTAGATAGTTCCTGTCTTTGGTCTTCTTCTGGTGAGAATGTGAGAGAGTGAATTGTGAGTGTGAGAGTGTGAGATTGCTCAAATCAACAAACTTTGGTACTCCACAAATCATCGTTTTGTTCCTTCCCCTACCCTCCCCTACCCTCACCTTCCCTCCCCTCCCCTCCCCTCCCTCCCCTCCCCTCCCTCCCCTCCCCTCCCTCCCTTTCCCCCCCTCCCCTCTCCCCTCCCCCCATCCCAGTGCAAGTGTGCGCCTGTCTATCATCCGCAGTGGGGGGGTAGGCGCGCTGGTGGCGCTGCTGGCAGCACAGGGAGGCGACAGGGATGTGCGAGACAAGGTACTGCTGGGTGGGGAAGGGGCTTGGAGGGGATGGAAGGCGGGAGAGGACAGGGGACGTGGAAGGGAGTATCGGAGGGGAGAAGGGATGGGGGCAAAGTTTGTGGAGGGTGAGTGACGGTGTGGTGGGGGGAAGGGGCGTGGGGTTGGAGTAAAGGATGGGAGGGAGGAAGGAAGAAGGGATGGACAGGATAAGAGTTGCTCTTGGAAAAGGAGAGTTGAAGCTGCAGTTGAGATCTTCGCTGCATTCCTGGGAGGATGGGAGGGGTGGCCCTTGTAACCCTTGATTCAGATGACGTTTCAGCAATGTTCCTGCCTGTTTGTGCACGTTCCCGCAAGTGCTCATGCTTCATCGTGACTTCTCCTGCCGGTTGCCTACCCCATTACCTGCCCACCCATCGTCACTTATCAGGTCGTGTCCTCGCTCCTCCGCATGGTATCAGATGAAGAAGCAGCTGCCAAAATGGTGCGTGTCCGTCCATCCATTCGTCCACCCATCCATCCATACCTCATCCACCCATTCATGCAGTTTCTCTCCCTTCCCTTGCCTCCACATGGCCAGTGCTCCCTTCCTCCTCCCTTTCCCCCCTTCTTCATTCCTCTCCTCCCATACTTCCCTTTTCCCCTCCTGCTCCTCACACCCCTCGTCCAGGCATCCACCATACCGTCATTCATCTCTCTGCTAAGGGAGGAGGACGCACAGGCCGGCAGAGAGGGCTCAGAGGCGGGAGAAGCAGCAGCTGCAGCAACAGCTGCAGCAACAGCAGCAGCAGCAACCGCAACACCAACACGAACACCACAAACGGCAGCAGCACAAACAGCAGCAGCAGCAGCAGCACCCGTCGACCCAGCAGCGAGAGCAGACGGGAGGGCAGCAGCAGAGTCCCTCCTCCTGCAGATCTCCTCCCTGGTGGGCACGCCGTGTGAGAGCATTGTGGCAGCAGGGGGCGTGCCTCCCCTCGTCGCCCTCCTTGCCACTGGGTCCCTCAAAGAGCGTGCCATTGCCGCAGAGATCCTGGGAAATGTGATTGCGGACCGACCCGCACAGGGGTGGTCTGATCCTGATGCTGCTGCTGCTGATGTTGATGATGGTGGTGGTGCTGGTGGTGCTGCTGGGAGTGGTGGTGGTGGCGGGGAAGCGCATGTGATGGCGCTGATGGCGGCTGGAGTGGTGGCGGCTTTAGAGAGTGTGCTGCTGCTGGCAGAACCTAAAGGTACGTGGATGGAAGACGGGAGAGTGTGGAACGGGGTGGGGGGACGGGAGAGTGTGGAACGGGGTGGGGGGATGGGAGAGTGTGGGACGGGGTGGGGGGATGGGAGAGTGTGGGACGGGGTGGGGGGGTGGGAGAGTGTGGGACGGGGTGGGGGGATGGGAGAGTGTGGGACGGGGTGGGGGGATGGGAGAGTGTGGGACGGGGTGGGGGGATGGGAGAGTGTGGGACGGGGTGGGGGGATGGGAGAGTGTGGGACGGGGTGGGGGGATGGGAGAGTGTGGGACGGGGTGGGGGGATGGGAGAGTGTGGGATGGGGTGGGGGGAAAGGGAGCACAGGGAAGGAGGAGAATAGGAGAGGGGATGTGGGGTCGGCAGCCTGGCTTCGTTTTCGAGACATGAGTGGGTGAGTGAGTGGGTGAGTGAGTGAGTGAGAGAGTGATTGAGTGAGTGAGTGAGTGAGTGCTGAGTTAGCGGTGGGTAAATAGAGCTGTGAGGAAGTGTGGGGTGTTCAATGCGAGCGCAAGGAGAGTGAGAGTGGAAGTGACAGTCTCCCCCAACTCCCAAATCTCACCTGAGCCCTCCAGTGTCGAAGTGACTATCTCACTCCAGCACTCCTCCCATCTTCTCCACTCCCCCTCTCCCTCCCCGCATCCCACTTCCTTCCCTGTCTACTTTCCCACCAATCCCTTTTCCCCCATTTTTTTTCCCCTAACTTCTCCCCCCCTCGTTTCTCCCCCACCTCCCTTCTCCCCCCCCTCCCTCTTCCACCTCCATCCACCTCCCACTACCTCACCCATCTCCCTCCACCTCCCACTCCCTCTCTCCCTCCACTGCCCTCCAGACCCAGACCCCATCCGAGCACTATCCTCCGCATCAGCCTCCTCGCCTCTCTCAGCAGAGGCCGAAGCCGACCTCTGGGCAGCACAGGCAGCAGCCGCTCTCCTCGCTCGCCGCCTCGCCTCCACAGCAGGGGGCTCAGCCCGAGCCGTGCTGGCCGATTCCCGCCTCGTAGACTGCCTCAAAACCGTTCTCCAGTCCTCTGCACCGCTGCAGGTGAAGAACAAGGTGTCCGAGGCTCTGTTAGTGATTACTGATGTTGCTGCTGATGCCGAAGTTGCGGTTACCACCTTTGATCTGATTCCGCACCTGGTGGAAGACCTGTGGGGTGGAGGAGGAGAGAGTGGAGGGCAAGGGGAGGGAGGAGGAGGAGGAGCGTGGGGAGGGGAGGAAGAGGAGGGAGAGGTGGGAGAGGAGGTGTGGAGTGGAATGGAGATTCATCCTACACTGCTTCCTCTCCCGGGAGGGGCTCTCTCTCCGCCACCGCCGCCGCCGCTGCTTCGGTCCAGTGCATTGCTACCTCAGGCAGAGAGGAGGGAGAGAGCGGCTGTGCGGTTACTTGACCTAGCCCTTACTGGTAACCCAGGGTATCTCCAGGCTATGGCGCGGGCAGGTGCAATCTTCCCTTTGGTGGAGATTCTACGACAGAAACCCAGCAGCAGCAGCAGCAGCAGGGGGGGCAGGATGGGTAGGCCATCAGTGGCGTGTCAGCGTGCTGCTCTGGGAGTGCTGTATGCGCTGGGGAGCAACGAGGAGAATCATGCGGTCATGGTGGGAGCAGGGATAGAGGAGGTGCTGGAGGGGATTGTGAGGCGAGGGGAGGAGGGCGGGCGGTTTGGGGATGGCCGGTGGATGCTGGGCCTGTACCTGCTGCAGGGGCTGCGGGTGTGACACAGGATCCATGGGTATGCGTGCATAGTATCACCTTTTGAGGCGCCTGCTTGAGAAATGGTCTCACTTCACAGCGATGGCAGGTGGATGCTGCCCCTGTACCTGCTGCAGGGGCTCCTCCGGGTGTGATGCAGGATCTCTGCTTGTGCGTGCATCAAGTTTGTGCTTATGCTTGCCCGTTATGGAACTTGCCTGTTATGAGATTTTCCCTTGATGAAAATTGTCCGTCGAATTGACACGGGAGGCTTGAGACATGATCATAGATTAGTAATCACAGTGTTGAGGTGTCTGCCGATACGGTAGTAGACTATCATGAGAGGGTTTTTCCGTGACCTGAAGTCTTGTGATGGTAACGAGGTGTAGTTTTCCCTGTGTAAGGAATTTTCCCGAATTCCTTATCGGGGTTGATTGCTTCGCGTACAGCCCCGGTTTTCGGACTCTGCACGTTCGGCCGACATCAACGATGCCGAGGCTCCTCGCGTCGCCTTCGGCGTTTCCCTTTGCCAAACCTGCAGCCAACCTCGCTCACCCGAGGTTCCCTCCTAGCTAGGCTAGCCACTACATTAGCGTGTGCCTTCGTTGTATGCTCAGTCTATTGAATCACAGTCTCGTTATTCGTTAATCTGCGAACTCTCCTTTACAACTCATAACACCTGGTATCAGAGCTACTTTCCTAGTTCACCCCGCTTTTCGAGGGTAGTTTGGTGGCACGGGTGTGGCTGGTATAGTGGACTACACGACGGTTGGCCGCAGTGCCCGTAACAGTGCCGGAAAGCTGTTGGGCTCCCACATGAGCACATTTCCCGTACTGATGGGATTGCACCTGAAAATGGCCCTGCAGAGTATGGCCAGTATGATTGCAGCTGGCAGGTATGAAAAATGGAGAATCGACATTACTGTACTGCCATCGTGGCACGTGGCAGCTGGACGACGTGGGATGTTGACAGGTTCTTCGATGGCTGGGGGATGTGAAAGGGATTGTTAGAGGTCGAATGAGGCACGGTACGATATTATATTTCAAAGTACAGCACTTTTGTTTATGCCCTTCATGTTTCTGCGTAGTATAATGCACTTTCACCTCCCAAAAAAATGTATGATGAACTCGCCTCCCAAATTTGACCCTCGTCGGCGTCCCCATCCTAACAACCAACATCGACTTCTGAGGTCCCTGCCTAGCTAGGAATTCCGTTATAACTTGCTCTATCTTCATTTCATTGACACCAGCCATAATCATATACAACTCAAACCGGTTGATATCAGAGCAAATCTCCTACGTTTCCCGCATTTTCATGGTAGTTTGTTTTACGGATGCAATAGAGCTAGTGGACTGCGAAGCAGCTGGTTCGTTCAGAGGCAAACCTAACCGAGTACGAAAATGAAGAGGCACGATGAGCTGAAGGGTCAGAGACGGTTGCGATCAAGATGGTTGCTAACAGAAACATCTCTAAGCGAAAAGGCTGGAACCTATCAAGGTAACAAACGAGAATGAATGAACTATGAAACAGTTGGGTACAAGTACTAACCCTAATTGGGTTGTACCCCTTGTGGGCTACCCCACTACATCCTACACAAATGTATAAGCTATAATGTTTCGACACACCCCCATAGGCAAAGTGGGGGAGAACAAGTGGTCACAAGACCAGTCAAGAAAAGCAAAGCAAGCTCAGGGTGGATCACTAAGTCACCACACAGTCCGAGCACAAGCAAAGGGCCACAAGGCCAGTTCACATGCAGAGTTATATAAAAGAGAACAAACAATACAGTGATCATACCCTAGCAAGTGCAAGCATGCAGGTATATATATAGATCAAAGTACAAACAGAGTCAGGCAGTAAGTAAGTGAGGCAAAGTGGGCACAAGGCCTAACACGGTAACAAAACGCTGATGATCACCAGGCGGAAGTGCCTTGGTGAAGACATCAGTAGTGTTGGCCCGAGTGGCCACGTACGCAAGACGAAGCTGGCCACGCTGCTGCAACTCTCGAGCAAGGAAGTATCGCAGAGCAATGTGCTTCGTTCCGTGCTCCAGTCTGTGCTCCTGACACAAGGCAATCATGGCCTTGTTGTCTACGTACAGAACTGGAGGCGAACGAGGCTGCTCTCCCAAGTCGGTCAGCAGGTAGGTGAGCCAGCGTAACTCCTTAGCAGCCATGGCCCCGGCATAGATCTCAGCCTCACAACTGGAGCTGAGAACCGAAGACGAGCGGGTAGACCGCCAAGAAACAGAGCCGGAACCAAGGCCAAAGGTCTAACCCTGTGACGACCCCTGCGTAGCTGAGTCGTCAACCCAGGAGGCGTCTGCGTGACCGGTGAGGACAACTGTACCCCGTCCTCCAAGCACGAGCCCCATGCCCGACGTACTGCACAAGTAAAGCAGTACCCTCTTCGCAGCATCCCAGTGCACCTTTCGGTGCCTGCCGGGAGCCACGTAATGAGCCAGGAGGCTGAGAGGGTACGCGAGGTCGGGTCGAGTGCATGTCATCAGGTACATGAGGCAACCCACAAGCTCTGGGTACGGACCACTCGGCTCTACAGACTCGTCCGAAGGTGGAGCTGAGAGCGAGTGACTGGTAGACAGAAGAGTGGACTGTGGCGAGGAGAACTGGAAGCCGAAGCGCTGAAGGACCTGGTGCACCATGTGTGACTGAGTCAGGGTAATGGTGCGCCGTGCTCTGTCCCGGGTGATCTGCAAGCCAAGATAGCTAAGCAGTTCACCCAGGTCAGTGCAGGTGTGTCTCTTCTGCAGCTCCGACTTCACAAGAGCCAGTGCCTCAGTGTCAGCAGTGGCAAAGACGAGGTCGTCAACGTAGACAAGGATGTAGAACGGCGGCAGTGAGGTGTCGGTGCGTAGAAACAGCGACGGGTCAGCAGTAGAAGGAGGAAACCCAAGAGCCGCAAGCGTAGTCCTCAGTGTGTCATGCCACTTGCGAGGCGCCTGGCGGAGACCATAGACTGGCCGCCGAAGACTCCACTGAGTACCTGCAGGAAAAGACTCAGTGAAACCAGGTGGGCGGCGCAACCAGATCTTCTCGTGCAGGGTGCCCTGCAGGAACGCTGTGCTAAAGTCCAGAGAGTGCAACTCGTAGTCACACCGAGCACCGACATCCAGCAACACCCGAAGAGTAGTCATCTTCGGGGTGGGGGAGAAGGTCTGGAAGTAGTCAACTCCCTATCGCTGACTGAAGCCACGAGCAACGTAACGCGCCTTGAAGGCAGGCGAAGAACCAGGCGGCCGCTTCACCCTGAAGATCCACATGCCATCGACTATGTTCGCCCCAGGTGGGGAAACCTCGTCGACATAGGTGCCTGTGGACTTCCAAGATGCCATCTCGGCATCCATGGCTGCCTGCCATTGAGAGGAGTAAGGACCCGTAATCGCCTCTGCATAAGAGCGCGGGGTCGGGATGTCTGGAGCATCTGGGTCTCCCTCAGGGGCAAGCAGCATGGAAGCGAAACGAGGTACAGCAGTTGCAAGAGACTCAAAGTCCTCCTGCCTGTCCTCGAGGACGTCCGTGCCAAGAGCACACTCACCCCCGACGGACGGAGGACAGTCAGACGCAGACTCAGCAATAAGAGCAGAGGCGTAGTCTAGACGACAGGCAGCAGCAAAGTCAAGCAGCTTAGCAACGAGAGCAGACGCAGCAGCAGACTCAAAAGAAGGGTCAGTGACAGCAGTGGCGAGGAGACGAGAGACAGTGGGACTGGCAGCACGAGCGCGGTCAGACTCAGGGTCAGGGACCTCAGGAAGAGAGGACTCAGGAGGAGCTGGCAGAGGAACATGCAGAGGAACAGAGGAAGGACGAAGGGTCATAGCGTGCGTGACAGGGATAGGAGGAGGACGCGAACGAGGAACGCGACGAGTAGTGCAAACAGGTGAGACAGGATGAGACGCAGGCTCACGACGCTCTGTAAGACCGCCAGACTGCTCAGTGTAAGGAGAAGGAGCACGCAGTGGAGAGGTCGGCTGTAACGGCGGCAGCGGCCGGTGAGGCGGGGGACACAGGAGGGGAGGAGGAAGGTCAGCAGAAGGCGGGGTACTAAGTACGGTCGCGGCTGCACAGCGCCACGAGAGGCTACAGCTCCAGCTCCTCCAGCGTTAGCACCTCCAACACTAGGGCCTCCAGCTCCAGCGCCTCCTGCGCTAGGGCCACCAACTCCAGCTCCTCCAGCTCTAGCGCCACCAGTGCCAGTAGTACCAGACTCTGTAAGGTCTTCAGCTCCAGCACCCTCAACACCACCAGTCCCGGCAGCTCCAGTCACCCGGGTACGAGCACCTCCAAGGCCAGCGGTCGCAGTACCTCCAGTAACACCAGCACCAGTAGCAACTCCAGTACCTCCACCTCCAGCAGCGCCAGCACCTCCAGCTCCAGAAGCTCCATGCCGAAGGCGCGTACGCCAGACAAACCACTCACGCAACTTCTGCAGAGACAGGCTCGGCGAAGCACCAGCAGAACCTCCAGACGAAGCAGCACCCTGAGGCTCCGCACCAACCAAAGCAGCACCCCCAGGCTCAACACCCTCAGGCTCAACACCCCCAGGCTCACCACCCCCAGTCACAACACCCCCAGGCTCAGCACCCCCCCAGTCTCAGCACCCCCAGGCTCAGCACCCCCAGTCTTAGCACCCTCAGACTCCGCACCCCCAGGCTCCGCACCCCCAGACGCAGCACCTCGAGCAGCACCTGAGTCGACAACTACCTGAAGAGGCGCAGGACCAGGGAGAGGGTCTACCTGAGACACACCTGAGGGAGCAGGACCCTGGGGCGGGAGGGGGTCTACCGGAGGAGGACCGGGAGCAAGGAAGAGCGGCGGGGGCGGGGGAGGGGCGGAGCGGTTGGGGAAGAGGCGGTAAAAGGGAACCGACTCGTCAAACGTGACGTCCTCAGAAGGGAAGACACGGTGCGAGGTGGGGTGGTAAAACTGCCAGCCAGGCGCGTCGGGGACAAAGCCAAGGAAGACGCAGGGGATAGCACGGGGGGAGAGCTTGTCCGCTGACGTATCA